TGCAAATGACAAACGCAGGGACGAGCCGCGAGGGCAGCGGGGCTCTGCGGGCTCCGGCTCCTTTGGCACCACACGTTCTCAGCTCAGAGCAGCGGGCGTGGAGCTGCAGCGTGCAGAGGTCGCAGCCCGCTGCCAGGAGCTGCACCAACACTGCATGTGCCGAACAGGAAAAGCAGCGGCTCGGGCTGTGGAATGACAAAGCCGGGTGTGAGCAGCACTTCACACCGCGCGTCTGCCACTTTGGAGTGGTAATGCCGCTGTGGGATGGCGTCTGCGGGACAGGCAGCCCCGGGGAGCCGCTGGGTGCTGCCAGACTGTGTCACCCCCCGGGGCAGCGGGAACGGCGCTGCGTGCTCTGTTCTCGCCGGGCGTTGTGGTGAGGAGGGGAGCTGAGGGATGAGAGGTGTGGGCTGTGCCCATCCCGTCGCATCCTGTCCCCAGGGCCCCGCTGGACAATGACATGAGGAATTATTTGGCAGAACAATTTGATGTTTTCTGAGTTTCTGAGCAGGGAGTTCGGCCCTTGGCAAGGCTGTGCCCGGATGAGGGGCTCGTCCTGGAGGGGCAGCGGCACGCAGGGCAGCACAGCATCCCCAGAGCCCTCCTGGGATGGAGTTGTCCCACGGCTTTTGCTGCGAAAATTAGCTGCAGCCTGTGACATGTCACACTCCAGGACAAAACGCTCTGGTTGTCTTCATCTTGAAGGCCAGATACGGATGTGTTTCAGAGTGATGGGATTGTGGCTGCGCCTCCCACAGCCTCTCCGTAGCGTCGAGATAGGCTGCAAATGTGCACAGCCAAACTTAGAGCATCACTTAACGGCTGTGCAAAGACAGAGGCGATGGCACTGTTTGGAATGTGCATTTTTCTGAACTTTACTTGTTTGGCCGCATCTCACCACAACGCTGCGGTGTCACACCAGCACAGCGGTGCCCCGGTAGGAATGGGGTCTCAGCATGGGGTCATGGAGCAACGCTGACGGCCCTTCTCAGCGCCCACAACCCCTCCGAGTGCCCCCGCTGCCTGCGGTCGGGGCCGGGCACTGCGGAGCTGCCTCCCGGCGTAAGCTTTAAATAGCAGCCTATGGAAGCACGGTGTGAGGCGGGATGTTGTGGAGTAACGCGGTATCAAACTACGGCACCTACAGGGAGATGAATCCGGGGTCGGGAGCGGACAGCCGGACGGACACCGCCGGCTGGGTTCCGTCGCTGCCGGGGCCGAGCAGGCAGTGCGCAGCGCTCCGCTGGGACGGGGCCGTGCGCGTCACAACGCCGCTGATCGCGGGCGCTGCGTGGCGGTGCCGTCAGACCTCAGAGCCGCGCAACCGACGCGCATCTCCCGCCGAGGCCCTTTTCCCTCCGCCCCGGGGCAGCGCTGCCCGATCCCGACCCCGGGAACAAAGGGTCCGCCCGGAGGGTGGGGGGAGACCCGCACGGCCCCGCACCGAGCGGCTTCCCCTCCCCGGCAAGTTCAGCCTCTGCGAAATGAGTGAATGGCACAGCCCCGCCGAACTTGGAGAAACGATATCATCCTTGTGTGTGTGTGTGTGTGTTGGGGGGCTGAAATAATTAATTCGCCAATCAGCGACGTTTTGGACGTCGTTTTTTCCTTTTTTTTTTTTTTCTTTTTTTTCCCCGTACCGCCCGGCCCGGGGCGCGGCCCCGCGCTGCCGCAAATCACGGCCCGGCACTCGGCGCGGCCACGCGCCGCAATTAACGCGGGCACGCAATTAGCGCGGGGACGGGGCGCGCCGCCATCCATTACCGCGGGATGCGAGCCGGGCAGGGAAATGATAAAATACGTGGTGAAAAGCGGCGGCGGTGGGAGTGCCTACATGAGTGATCGCCTCGGGCTTCTGCGCCTTGAACTTAGCGCGCCGGGAAATCCCCGAGGTCAAAAAGTAGGAAAATTGTTGCAGCCCGGGGAGATATATTTTAACTTCGCAGAGGGTCCGCGCGAGTTCGGCCCCAGGGAGGGTGCGGGCTGCCGGGAGCGCCGCGTTCCCCGTTCCTGGTTCCCGGTTCCCGGCTCGCGGCGAAGCGGCGCTGAGAGCCCCGAACCGCCCCCGGGAGCTGCGTGCAGGCGGAGAGGTGCGGAACGGCCCCGAGTGCGGCTTCCCCCCCCCCCCCGCCCCCCGGCCGTCCGTTCCCATCCCCCTCCCGCTGACCGCGCGGCTGATTTATGGAGAGCGATGTTTTAGCAGAAATCCCCCAGAGTCGCCCATCAGCCCTAAATCCCCAACCTGCTCTCCCTGGGAGACCTCATGACACAGAGCATGCCAAAACAGCTCCGTTTTGCCTATGCATTAGCAATCTATTTTACCTTTTTGACATCTCTCACACATAAAACCGTAAGAGAGAAATAAAATATCTGTCTCTGGGCGAAAATAAAGCTTTGCCTCCCTCCTGATCTATAGGATATAAAATAAAGCCATGGCTTTGATAGTGGCTTTTCCTTATACCGGAGTTGCTTTTGCACACACGGAGACAATGAAGATGGATGAGCGGGGATCGGTGCCTCCTCTCGGGGTTTGTTTCACCCTTTTTTATCGTCTCCCCCTCCCCGCACCTCTTTACTTTTCTTTCTTTCTCTTTGATTCGCCTTTCCCTGCCCTCCCTCGCTCTCTCCCGGTGCGCACAGCCCCGTTCCCCGCGGCCGGGCTCGTCCCCATCCCGGCCCCTTCCCGCTGTTTCCCGACCCCTCCTGGCCCGTTCCCAACCCCTCCCGGTGCTTCCCGGCTCCTCCCGGCCCGGCGGCAGCCCTCACTCAGACGCGCACTCCGTCGGAGCTGTAATTATTTATTAACTGTATTTTCCCATAAACAACTCGGGAGCTTTGGATGTAAGCGACGACATTTAGCGACTTGGAGAGAACCCTGGGGGGGTTCGTCCGGGCTGGGGAGGGGGGGGGGGCGGGGCCGTGCGTACCCCCGCATCGCACCGCGGGCGGCACAGCGACCCGGGGCACCGCTCTGCAACTCCGAGGGCTTTTCGGCGCTCGTTGGCACCGACGCGGCGCGGCGTCCCGTCCGGCCGTGGAGAGCGCAGGGCTGTGCCACGGCCGGGAGCACCGCCGCATCTCGCCGTTCGCTCGGGGAGATGTCCGAACCGGGCGGGAGATGTCCCATCTCCTGACAGACCCTCGTTCAGGCGGCGCCCCGGCCCCGAGCCCTCTCACTGCGGGAAAAGTTGCGGGAGAGGCGCAGCGAGCCGTGCGGGGCCGAGGGGAGCCCAAAGGACTCCCGCATCCCCGGGTCCGGTTTGGGGCAGCGGACCGCTCGTCCTTAGAAATCGCTCTCGGGATGAAGGGCCCTCCCAGCCCCGCAGCGCTCCGCGGTACCGGCGGAGGCCCCGCAACTCGCGGCGGCCGCGAGAAGGGTGAAAGCGAAGTGCTGCAGCGCGCCGGGCCCGGCCGTGCTCACAGCTTCCGAGGGGGAAAAGGGCAGGGCGGGAGAAAGGAGAGAGCCGCCGGGAGAGCTCCCACCGCTGCGCCCGGGGCTGTCCGTGCTGGGAACGAGGAGCGGCCGTGGGAACAGCGGGGCACCGCCGCGAGCCGGGGTACCACCGAAAGGCAAATTCAGACTCGCCTGAAAAGGGCGTTTTGTTTCCGCATTGGATTTAAAATAATCTGCATTTTTAAATCGTTATTATTATTATTATTCCTTTTTGAAATTTGCTTCTTTTTCGGCGCCGCGCACCCCCCGAACGGAACGGGGAAAACGAAACGAACTGAACCAAACGGAGGAGCGGCGCCGCGCGGTGCCGGGCGGGCAGTGGGGCGGCAATCAGCTCCGCATCCCGATGGGTCACCGCTCCGGGGGTGCGAGACGCGCCCCGGGTACCCGCGGCTCCGGGGGCGGAGAGCGGAGCCCCGGCGGAAAGCGGCCGAGAGCGGCGGGGGGCGGGGGCCGGGCCGAGCAGATGCTTTCGCTAACGCCTGGGAAAAAAAAAAAAAAAAAAAAAAAAAAAATCGCTGTGAAAAAGTGGTGCTTGATGGACGTGAGATGCTCGTCGCCTCCCGCGCATTCATCCGCCGACACATGGCACTTGGGGCCGCAGTCAAAGGGAAGCGGTCCCCTGGTAGCAGCGCCCAGCTGGCGGAGCGGGGCGGAGCGGGGCCGCCCGCGTGAGAACGGCCCAGATGGGGCCGAGGGCATCGATCCCGGGCGGGCGGGGCGAGGGGAGCGGGGCGCGGCCCCGACGGGGCGGGAGGGGCGCGGGGCGCGGCGGGCAGGGCCGTGGTTGCCGGCAGAGGCGGGGAACATCCGTTTTATTTCTCCGTTTCTCCGTCCCGCAGCTCCGACCGCGCGGAGGTCGGAACGCGGCCGGGTACGGGCAGGACCGCGGGGCGAGCCGAAGGGAACGACCGCTCGGGGTAGAAGCGAACGCCGCTTCGTTGGCCCAAAAAGCGCTGTGGCGGCGGGCGGCCGTCAACGGGACCCCGACGGACCCCGCGCGGCCACGCATCACCCCGCGGACACCTGCGGCGCCGGGCCCGGCTCTCCCCGCCTCGACCCCGGCCGGCAGCGGGCAGGAACCCGCGGGTCGCGGACCCCGAGATCCGCCCCGTGCCGCGGCCCCCGTTCCCCTCCCGCCTCGCACCTACCGCTGCAGCGCGTCCCGGGGCTCCGCGCGGGGCGCACCTTTACCGGGCGAAGGCGACGGCCGGCGGCGCCCCGCGCCCTCGCGGCTCTATAAAGGGGCGCGGACGCCCCGTCCGGCGGCGGCGCGGCGCGGGGGGGCCACGGGGGGCGACGGCGGCGGAGGCGGCGATTGGCCGCGGCGCGCGGTGACGTGTGCGCGCGGTGCATAAGGCTGCGGCCGCGGGGCTGCCGGGAACATGCAGTGCGCCGAGCGCTGCCGGACGGCGCGGGCCGCGCGGGCAGCGCCGCTCCCCTCCGCGCTCCGGCCCCGCCGCGCCGCTGCGCCCCGCCGGGAGGCGCCCCAGTGCCGGCAGCGCCGGGAGATGCCGCGCGGGGACGCGGGGTAGCGCGGGGCACGCAGGTAGGAGCCGGGGACGGCGGGGGACGGCGAGCGGCGGAGCCGGGAACGGAGCGAACGGAGCGAACGGAGACGGGAGCCGCGCTCAGCGTCCCCCCGCGCACGGACGGCGGCCCGCTCCGCGCCGCTCGGGCCATGGCACCGCGCCTGCAGCCTGCGCCCGTCTGACGGCGGGCGGCCCGATGCCCTGCGCCCGTGCTGTCCTCGTCTTGTCGTCTTTTTTTTTTTTTTTTGTCTTTTTTTTTTTCCTTTTTTCTTTTCCCTCTTTTAATTTCTGTTTGGGAAAAGCAGATGCACTTTGACTTCTGACTGCTCTACCTCAGACCTGAGAAAAAACTCGTCACCGTCAACCGCTTCTCGGCGGTTTTTTAATTATCGCCGTTCTCGTTTTATCTGAGCGCCGATTTCTGCGCCGCCGCGCGTCGGCCTCAGCCGGGCCGGGCCCGGAACCCGCGGCCCTGGGACAGCGACCGACCGAAGGCTTTTCTCCCTCCAGTCCTTTTTCTTCTCTTCCGCTTCTCCAAGGCTTCTTCTTCTTTTTTTTTTCTTTCTTTCTTTTTTTTTTTTAATAATAATAATAATAACAACATACACACACACATATATATAAAAGCAAACCTACGCCGCTGTTGTTGTCGTCTTTTTATTTTTATTTCGATTTTTCGCTTGCCATCTGGGACGCCGATACCCCACTCTCAGAAATAACCAAAGACAATGGTTCACTGTGCGGGCTGCAAAAGGCCAATCTTGGACCGGTTCTTGTTGAATGTACTGGACAGGGCTTGGCATGTGAAGTGTGTTCAGTGCTGTGAATGTAAATGCAATTTGACAGAGAAATGCTTTTCGCGAGAAGGCAAGCTTTACTGCAAAAACGACTTCTTTCGGTAAGTACCGCCACCGCCGCCCGGAGCCGCGGCTCTTTTCCATCCGTTTGCCATCTTTTCCCGCCTGTTTATTTTTTCGCTCGCCGCAGAGCTCCGTTCTCACGGTGATGTCGGGCCGCGCTCCGACTCCCGCCGCTCCCTGCGCTTCCGAATCCGCCCGGAGCTGCGCGGAGCGATGCCGGGCCGTGGCCGCGCCTCGGGGAGTCGCGCTGCGGGGCCCGGTTGTGGGAGCTCCCGGCAGGGCCGAGTTCCGCAGAGCCGCCGCAGAGCCCCGGTCCGGCCCGGCCGCTCCATCGCGCTGTGCACCAGCAGCGCAACGCGGAGCGGCCGCAGCCCGCGGGCGGCCCCGCACCTCCCGCTCCTACGCGGCCATCGCGGCGCCGAACTCCGCTCCGGTTTCTCGGTGCCGTTATCGGGGCACGGAGGGGAAAGCCGCCCCTGCGTTGAATTAGTTTCCCCGGCGTTTGCCCTCGGTCCCCATCCCAGTGATTGCGTTTCCTTTTATCGTTTTGCAAGGTGTAAGTCAGGCGGGCGTTCGTTGGGAAAAAGGAACAGTGCGGAAGATGGTTTGGGGTTGGGTTTGTTTTGGTTTTTGGTTTGGTTTGGGTTTTTTGTGTGTGTGTGCACGCATTTTTTATTTATTTACCGTGGTTTCGGTTTGGTTTTCGTTTGTTTCGGTTCGCTGCGGTTCCGGGGCCGCCGCTCTCCCATCGGGGTGGGCGCACGGCACTGCCCGCTCGCTGCCCCCGCACCCTCCCGACCCGCCACCTCTCCCCGCAGGTGTTTCGGGACCAAGTGTGCGGGCTGTGCCCAGGGCATCTCCCCCAGCGACCTGGTCCGCAGGGCGCGGAGCAAAGTGTTCCACTTGAACTGTTTTACGTGTATGATGTGCAACAAGCAGCTCTCCACCGGCGAGGAGCTCTATATCATAGACGAAAACAAGTTCGTCTGCAAAGAAGATTACCTAAATAACAGCAATACTGCCAAAGAAAACAGCCTGCATTCAGGTGAGGGAGCGCGGGGCGGCGGCTCTCCCTCTCCCGTCCCTTCCCTTCTCCCCCCGCCCGGTTCCCGGCACCCCTTCTGACTGTCGGCCTTTCGCTGCCCGCAGCTACCACCGGCAGTGACCCCAGCCTGTCCCCCGACTCCCAAGACCCCTCCCAGGACGACGCCAAGGACTCGGAAAGCGCCAACGTGTCCGACAAGGAGACGGGCAGCAACGAGAACGACGACCAGAACCTGGGGGCCAAGCGGCGGGGGCCCCGCACCACCATCAAAGCCAAACAGCTAGAGACTCTGAAGGCCGCCTTCGCGGCCACCCCCAAACCCACGCGGCACATCAGGGAGCAGCTGGCGCAGGAGACCGGCCTCAACATGCGCGTCATCCAGGTACCGGGCGCGGGCTGCCTTCCGGCCCCGGGAGCTCGCGGCAGGAGGGTCCTAACGGGGCCGCCGACGGCAGCGGAATTAATAAGCGGAGATGTGAGGGGTTAATGCATAAATAAGGATGACGATGCGCTAGAATTATTAAAAGGTTTATAAACCCGCGGCGCTGAGGGTAATGGGGGGTTGAAGGACCATTAAAGGCGAGGTTGGAGGGGAGATGCTCGGAGCGGGAGCCATCCGGTCGGGGCGCCGGGAAGGAGCGCGCTCGTTCCTGACCCGCCGCGGTTGCGCGTGGTTGCCGGTGCTGTGCCCGTGACCGACCCGCCTTTCCTCCCCCCGCCCACAGGTGTGGTTCCAGAACCGCCGCTCTAAGGAGCGCCGCATGAAGCAGCTGAGCGCGCTGGGCGCCCGCCGGCACGCCTTTTTTCGCAGCCCGCGCAGGATGCGGCCGCTGGTGGACCGCCTGGAGCCCGGCGAGCTGCTCCCCAACGGGCCCTTCTCCTTCTACGGAGGTGGGTACGCGGCTGCCGCTCTCCGTCCGGTGCGCGGGGAGGGGCGGGGCGGGCAGAGCAGAACGGCCGTGGACTGCGGCCGGGGGAATCGCAGCCGGGCGAACCGCGGCCGCCGCTCTCCCAGCCGCACACCGTGCCCGGCTCGCAGCGGGCGCTGCCTCAGCCCGGGGCCGCCGGGCTCGGTTCCCCGTCGCGGTTCCCGTTCCTGGCCGTGCCGTCGCGCCGCTCGCGATGCGTCTCGGGGCGCCGCTGCCGACAGCCGTCCCGCAACCCCGCGCCCGCCGCGCCGCGCGTCTCCTCCTCTCCGTTACGCTCGGGCGCTCGTCCTCCGCGCTACCGCCCGTGTCTCTCCTTGCCGCCAGATTACCAGAGCGAGTACTACGGCCCCGGGGGCAACTACGAGTTCTTCCCGCAAGGCCCGCCCTCCTCGCAGGCGCAGACGCCGGTGGAGCTGCCGTTCGGGGCGGCGGGCGGACCGCCGGGCACGCCGCTGGGCGCGTTGGAGCATCCGCTGCCCGGGCACCACCCGCCCGGAGAGGCGCAGCGCTTCCCCGACATGCTGGCGCACCCCGCCGGGGACTCGCCCAGCCCCGAGCCCACCCTGCCCGGCTCCCTGCACTCCATGTCCGCGGAAGTGTTCGGCCCCAGTCCTCCGTTCTCCTCGATATCTGTCAACGGCGGTGCTAACTACGGCAATCACTTGTCACACCCACCAGAAATGAACGAAGCGGCCGTGTGGTAGCTTTAAGCGAACTGGGTCTAAGTAAGTGATGATCATCTAGTCTGCTTGTTGTTACGGTGTACAGAAATGAGTAAATGTAACATCTCTCCCGCCCTAAGACAATGGCACCTTGGGAACGAACTGCACCCGGCGGCTCCGCGCTGCTGCAGAGCGGGACGATCCCGGTGTGCGTTTGTCACAGCCACGGGGACCTGCGTGTGCCATGACAAAGGAACTGGTGAAGCTGTACAGTAACGCGCCGTGGGATGGATGGATGAGTGTGGTTGCCCCGTCGGATGTCATCCCGAGAGCCACAATCCTTAGAAACTCCTCATTTAAAAACAAACAAACAATGATTGAATGGCGGAAAGGTGACAGGAAAGGGGGAAAAGCTGCAAGAACTCTGAGCGCTCCCGATAAGGATGGTTCTGGCGTTCCGCATTTCTTTGTTCATTTTTCTCTCTCAAAGTTCAACCACGAGAAACTCTTTAGCTTCAGCCATTGCAGCCTGCTGAATACCAGGTGGGACAACTTTTCTTGCTTTCTCCTCTTTTTTTTTCCTTTATTGTTGGGGTTTTTTTTCTTTTTTTTCCTTTTTTTCAGTGGTTGTTTTCTTCTTTTGTTTCCCTCCCCAAATAACAAATGCTAAATGTTGAGCCCTCGGCACCAACTCTTCTACCTTCACAACGCTACACATACAAAACCTCCTCATCATAGCAAAGGTCGCCAACGGACCTCTAAGGCGAATGACTTGAAAAGAAAAAATACAAAAAAAAAAAAAAAATACAAAAAAAAAAAAAAAACAAAAACAAAAAGCAAACGAACAAAAAGCATTCTACCTTCACAAAGAGAGCAAAGCGAAACGAAAAGACTCTATTGAACTAAAACAGTCAACTGTTTACGTCTAACGTTAAATTCAGGAGCTCGATGTTTTACTAACAAATCCTGTTTTAGAACCTCTTGTTCGAAAGCAAAATATTTTGAGCAGCCAACCAAAATAGTTCCTTTTCTTTTCTGTAGATGTACAAAGCGATCGCAGGGCTTGTGGTTCACTGTGCTAGTTTGTCAAAGGTGTTGTTTACAGAAGGCAAAGAGAAACCCGCGAATCCCAGACCGTTGCCAAATAAAGGGAATCTATAGCACAAATACTGTCAGGTGCTCCGCACCAGCAACCCGGAGAGGCGTTTCCAAATGTCACAAGGTTAAAACCAGAACAGAACGAACATCTTTGCTAATTTTTAGTCCTGTTGAACATTCATGGAATTGTTAATATGACTTATATAGACCCACACAGGTTTTATTTTTGTGTCTTTAAAATGAAAGTCCAAAATATTTAAATTTTATGGTCAAATATGCAGTCGACAGCTGCTACTTTTTTCTTTATATATTAAATTTCTCATATGTCTTTTATTGTTCTAATAAACCTAAGCTTGTGTGACCTCCAGTGCATATTAGACCATTCACTGTATGAAAGAAAACATGTTGGATAAAATTTGTGCGTTTTTAATAAAATTAGAAAATGGGATGTTTAGATAAGTGGTGTTTCATTGGGTGCCTGAGAAACCAAAGCAGCCCCGAGAGCCGCGCGTGCAGCTCAGTGCCCTGCAGAGCCCAGCAGCGCCGCTCCGCGCGTTGCTCAGCCGGCGGGATGGGGTGGAACCGGGCTGTGCTGAGGGCGAGCACTGAGTGCTCAGTAACAAAAGTGTTTGAGCAGCAGCAAAAGCGTGCGGATCTGTGCTTGTAATTGCTGAGAGGTCATTCTGTTTTTTTCCTTTTTTTTTTTCTTTTTGTAATTGGCTGGTCTGCGGAGCAGCAAATCCTCAGCGTGGTTATTCTGTTCTTATTTCGGAGCTGACAAGGACTCAATCGCTTGATGTTGCAGTATTTGTGGAGCGCTCGGCAGGGTTTGGCAGGAGAAGCACGCGGATTTTCTGGGACAGAAATGAACCAAAGGAGGATTTCCTGCAGCCCGGAGCCGCGCAGGTGTGGCGGTTTGTGGCGGTTCTGTTACGGCTCCCTGCAGCAGCCCTGCAGCTCGGGCGGCGTTGGAGGGTTCGCTTCGGCTCTGCAGCATCGCAGCTCAGCGCAGCGCCTTCCACCCGCTGCGATAATGGGATGGCGGGGCGGTAATTGCGTCTTTCCCTTCATCTCTCTGCTAATTGTGATTCCGTCGGGCTTCTGTTTTATTTTCTGTCGGCGCGGAAATGCGCTGTGAGGCTCAGATTTCTCCGCTCTCAGCACTTGGGCGCTTTCTCTCTTTGCTCTGAACTCGCGATGCTCTCAAGTTGTGCGATCTGTAATTTCAGTGGCAGTTTTGCTCCCCACGCCGTTGCTGTGCCCCCGTCCGGGTGAAGCAATAGTTCACCTTCAACACAAAACGTCTTTTATATATATATACATATACATATATATATATACTATAAAGACAAAAAGCAGCAGGGATCCATTGGTAGTGTTTCTAAACAGTTTATTAAAGGCAGGGAGACTTCTTAACCTCGAGGCTCAGCGCCTGGCTCATCCATTTGCCTTTTGTATCCTTGCCGTGATTTTTCCCTCTGTTTTGCATTTACATGAGCATACAAGGGGTAATCTCTTCATTACAAACTTTTACTTCTCTGTGCAAACGCTGTTTATAAATACTGCTATTTGTGCTACCGGTCTGTGCTGCTGTTTTATTGTCCAATCAATTATTTTAAACGAGGATCTCATTTTGCAGAAATCATGTCTGCCAATTGGTTTTTCCCTTTTTATTTTTTTTCTCCTTTTTTTTTCTTTTCTTTTTTTTCTTTTTTCCCTGCACCGGGATGTTCGTACGGTTTATTCATGCTAATTTAGGCAGGGATGTGATGTGGTTCAGTTTAGGTCACCGGTTTTTAAAGGGACGCAGGAGAGCCTGCCTTGTTCCCCACGCTGCCGCTCGCTCTCGAAGCAGCTCTGCCATCACAAGGAGCCAACCCAGCAGTGGTTCCCATGCTCAAAGCCAAACGTGCCCATCACAGCTCCCGGGATGCAGCGTGGAGGCCCCAGCCCTTTGCAGATTTGAATTCTGTGCTCTTCAGAGCGGCGCTGGGTGTTTCTGAGGACCCTAATCCAGCAACAATCGCAGAGTCAAAACTCCTTTTGAAATCATTGTGGCGTCGGGTTCTTGTAAGTCCTCGTTTACAAGAGCGTTTCCATTGACTTCAGTAGCATTACTTGCGTGAATGGAGGGCTGCAGGAGGAGGCCCTCGGAACACATGTGCTGCTTGGAGGACTTTTAGTGCGCATATTAATTCTTCCACTGCAGCAAGGCGGCCGTGCCACGTCCATGGCTGTGTGTGTGCAACGTGCTTCCCAAAGTGCGTTCAGAATAATGGCTCTGATCTTTTCTCCCTCGGCTGCTCCTGGTTTTGGTGCCGTCCCCCCCCAGCAGAGCGCGGTGCCGTGGGGCTGCTCGGTGCCCACACTGCAGAGCTGCCCCATGGAGCGGGACGTCCTTTGGCACGGACGGGGATCTCTGCATACATGGGCGACGCTGAAGGTTTTGCAATCCCACACGTAGGACTGTACTGCTTTATTAGGAAAAAGGACACTGGGAAGACATTGTGAGTATTATTCATGTTGAGCTCGTTTATTTGAAGGAGATACTTTGCAGGATAAAGCGCCTTTAGAATGCAGTGGGTTCACAGCGCTCAGAAGCGCTGCTTCGGCCCCGCAGGGCTCCTCTCTGCCCTCCCTGCTGCTCTCCTTCCCATTCCCACTTTGCTCAGGCCCTGGCGTGGGGAGCGGGAGGGGATTTGTAAAGCCGTGCACCCCGAGAGTAGGAAGGTACTCAAACTCTGATTTGAGGCCAAATGGTGTATATTATTTTAATGCGTGTATTTGTAGCCAGGCGCTGAGTGACGGGTGCATGATACCAATCTATAAATAAATATAATTTACAAGTATCAGCGGTGATTTACATGCTCCTGCTATTCTAGGAAGTGGCCTAGAGTTTTTCCCCGAGCAGGAATGTTGTGTTTAAGCCTTGCATGCTCATACATACTAAATATAAGCAATCAGTTTGGCTTTCTGTTCCCATCCCAGCATACAGACTAAGGTATACTTTCCTCTCTGTTCAGCACAATCGACCGCTGCGTATCTGTAGGGCCGAGGCAGATTACAGAGGTGCTTTTATTTATGTCTGTGCTCTGTATTCCAGATGACCACAAGATATTCCTGAAGTTCTAACTAAAATTAATGGGACCATTAAAGAAATATATTTTGAGTACGAATCCATTTGGGATTGCTGTCTGCCTCTTTCAAAACGGTATTTGTTGTGCTTTCAGTCACAGACCCGGCTTACGACGCCGAGTTGCTTGTTGTCTGGAGAGCTCATTAATGGGAGGAAGGGCAGCCCTGCGTTGTGTGGCTGCTGGGCAGGAGTGTGCCGGCCGCACCGCAGCCCCAGAAGGGCATTCTCACCAACTGCACTGTGCTTTACCCACCTAATCCGTGAGCTGGCTGCTGCCTTGCTCCCATTGCACACATCCTCAGTGCGGAGGGGCATCGCAGACCCGAGCTCAGGGCTGTGTGTGTGCTCTGATGGTGCTCGGTGCACTCTTTGGGCAGCGTTACTGGGAGCTGTGAGAACTGGATTGATGTCCTGCTTGGTTTCAGTACCAACGTGCTTCCTGCAGAACGGCCGCTGTTGGAGAGGCTGATGGTGTCTCACTGTTTGGCACTCAGTGCTCAGCTCCGTTAACGGGACGGCGGTGGTTCGAGGGCCGGAGCAGTGCCTGTATCAGAGCTGCAGCCACACGTGTTGGGTGCGGGGAGAGGTGGAGGGGGAGCCTCAGGACAGAAGCTGCTCCGTGGGGCTGGGCTGTGTGTGCTGAGGTTTCCTGCTGCGTTCCTCTCGGTGCTCCAGAGAGCGCACACACGTGGTTCACCCTGGGAGATTTCTCTGGGGCGAAAAAGAGGTTTTTGCTCCATCTGAAAAGGTTCTGTGGCTGTTGCTGAGTGGCCTTAAAATTCCTGTCTGCTAGGAGCATCCTCAGTCCGTGTGTCTATGCGGATAAGCTGTATTCACCATGTTTTTAGGTGTAAGAACAATTAAGAGTTGATCAAATCTTGGAAACAGTTGTGGTTTTTGACTGAATGATCATTAGGGATATTGGAAATACTCAAATAAATACGAAGTACATTAATAAATCCATCTGTAAGTCGAAACAAATATTTATAGGGAGAGATTTTTATTACAGACGTCTAAATTCGCTGCAATGTATTTCCTTGTAGCAGATGGGGTTGGTGTGAGCTCTTTCCTTCTTCCTCCATCTCCTTCCTCTTCTTTTTCTCTTTTTTCACCAACGAATCAATCGCTGATAGAAAAAGAGCATCTAAGAATAAAATAGTGCTGCAAAAACGAGAAAAGGACGGATTGGAAAATGACACTGGCTTGCCAAAATGTAGGAAAGAGCAGCTCTGTGCTGGCTGGTGGCCGTGCTGGGGCACACAGCATCCATGGATGGGTCACGTCCTGCTGCTGCCAATGCCACACAGTGCGTGTGGGTGCTGCTGCTGCGTGGGTCTCCCAGAGCCCTGGGACGGATGGCTGCTTTTCTTTATAGATGTATTTAAGAAATGCACTGAAAGAAAAAGAGGATTTCTGTGAGTAACATGTGAGGGTACAGACACAGCAGTGTGAGCCCTTCGCTGCCGAGCTGCCTCTGAATCGGGCAGTTTCCTGGAAGATGAAATGTTCCACCAATACGTGGGAGAAATGGAAAGTTCTGCTTGTAGTGCGAAAGTCCCTGTGTTTATCTGTGACGTGCGTGGAGTCTGTTCCCCTTTTAGCAGATAAGCGTGTAAATGAAAAGTAAAATGAAGAGCAAGCATGCCGAAGAAACGATATCGGGTAGTTTGATGGCTCCTGACTGTAGCTTCTAAGCTTGGAGGGCTTGGTGGGATGCACTGCAGGAACAGGCTTTTGTGATGGTCTGAAATTCAAGTGTTTGGATATCGTGTTTGTCCAAAAAATGGTTATGAACCAAATCCACAGCAGCGTGATTTGAGGGCACGCGAACCAGAAATTAAAACTGAGTCTGAGAGCCTGGTTTAATGACCACACTAAGTGGAAGGCAAAAAGAGAGAGAATGGACTGTGAAGAAGGAGCCTGTGCAGGTGGAATGTTTTAACAACTCCGGACTTTAATACCACAGATTCTGCTTGATGTCCTTATCTGAAGCCAATCTTTTACTTACAGAAGTCATGCAACTCGCTGTGCATTGCTTAGGGATTGCACTGGGCATGTTCTGATGAAGCACTGCCTTTGTTGAGGGGGGATTTATCATCTGTTGGGGTTGGGTTGGAAACATCCCTTCTTCATCCATGAAGTGCAGAGCTTTGAAAATGCAATTATGCATGGGGCAATCACCAGTGCTTCTGTGGTTGGCTGAGTACGTCCCAGGAGCTGCTCAGGTAAGCATTTGTTTCTGCTCCTTCACTTCCTCTGGATTTATTTCTCCTGCCTTTGTTTGTAACAGCATCTTTTAGTCTGGAAACAACACGGCTGTGAACTTGGAGGGGAAATAAAGCAAAAGCAAAAGTGGTTTGCACCTTCTGCTTTGGAAATCTGTGCGTAACAGTCGTGGAAGAGCCTTAATTTCACATCAGAGCAGCAACAAGCAAACCCACCTAAAATACAGTGCAGAGCATCAGAGCTGTCACTCAGACCATGAGAAAATAAATACAAAATAAAGCTGAAATAGAATCGTAATATTGGACCGCATAAAATCCAAGGCTTTTGTTTGTAATGATAACGTGCATTTCCAGCGAGCATTAGTTTTTACATAACTTGAGATGCAATCCTAACAGCAGACGGTACTGCAGGGGTTGCTAAGGAGCCGTAGGGCACCGGGGAGGGGAGAAAGGGGCGAAATGCCCCCCGAGCTCCTCCTGCGGGTGCCGTGCGGGCCGGCAGGGAGCGGGAGCCGCCGGGCCCGTAATTAATGATATTCCTCTGCCCTCTGTAGGACGAGCGGCTGCACTGAACGCTCCTGCTTCGGGGGAACCAAAGTGAATCCCGGAGCCGTGGAGAAGCGCCGGGCCTGGCCTGAGCCTTCCTGTGCTCTAATTAGAATGCATGTCGGGATTAATCTTTGTAACGTTCAGAAGCAGATAAGCAGTGAGGGAGAGCCGGGTGCTGGCAGGAAAGGGACGAATGAACGAATGCTTGATGCAGTTGAACTTTGCAGCTTGCTGCTAGCAGCATCAGAAACCCACTGGTGCCACCACAAACATGGGGTCGAAACAGACCTCATGGGGCCCTTCCTGTGCGGGTGGGAGATTTGGGCCCCCGTCTGCAGCTCATGTTTGAGAAGCCGATTTGGGTCCATTCTCACTCTCTACAAGAGGTGCACCACCCTCTATTCCCAGCCACCGTTTCCAGTTGCGTTTGGGGGCTGGGAGGGGGTTCCCAGCCTCTCATGGGGTCGCTCATCCCGCACTGCTTTGCTGGGGTCCTGCATAGACGTGTGGGATGCAGCACAGGTGTGGGCAGTGCTCCACAGCTCACATGGCAGCACTATGCAGGTATGTGCTGACTGGGGGGGAAAGAAGAATAGTAGCATAGTGAGTTATATAAGACAGCTGTGCCGTAAGAGCCCGTCATTCTCTGCTTTCCAGCTCTGGAGCACTCAGCACGTACGAATTCTCACGACACGCTTGCGTAGGGTGAGCGTTCTCCCCGTTGTAGCGGTGGGAGGACAGCCCGACCCGCCGGAGGGCTCGGATGGTGGATTTCGGTTTTTTTATGGCGGTTGTTTCCGCTCGAACCACCGCGCGCACTTTAACGCAGACAAAAGACGAGGGGCGCGGGACGCACCACTGCCGCGCGCGGAGCGCTTAGGCCACGCCCCCACAGAGGCACCGCCCACACCCAGACCACGCCCGTTCGAGGCCACGCCTACTCAAGACCCCGCCCCTACCGGACCCTGCGCTCCGCCAGACCCCGCCCCCTCCGCTCGGGAAGATGGCGGCGCCCTTAGCGCAGCAGCTGGAGGAGCTGCTCAACCCCCGGCCCGACTTGCGAGACCCCGAGGATGACGCGGAGGAAGGTGAGAGGGGATCGGAGAAGGGATCCGTGCGGCCGGGGCCGGGCCGGAGCCGGGGCCTGTTAGGGGGGCCGCCGGTTTGGGGTGGCACGTGGCGGTGCGGAGCCTCAGCCGCTGCCGCCGCCGTGGGGGATGGGGCGGCTCGGGCCGGAGTGCCGCCCCGCTGTGCCTCGACCCGCAGCGCTGCGGGCTGGGAGCCCCGGGCGGGCACACGGCTCTGCACGCAGCCACGCGGCGCTCCGCGAGCTCAGCGTCCAGCCGCGGCTCCGCGCGGGCTCTGCTGCAGGCCGGGACCGAATCCCGTTGGAAAGTTCTAGAAAAGCGGCCCCAGAAGCGTCCATCGGAGCCGGGCGGGCCCTGCTGAGCACCTGCGGCTCTCCGTGCTGGCGGGCGGGGGAAGCGGCGCTTCGGAACAGCGGGGAGGTACGAGAAGAGCAATAATTGCAGTGCGGTGGTTTTCTCTCTTTAGCCGTCCAGAAATGTTTGTGCATTTATGTGATTCGGGTGTATGGGCAGAGGTTAAAGTGTGTGGGAATCGCAGTTTTTCTCTTTGACTCGTTGAGCACAAAGTGAAGGCGTTCAGTGCTGTGAGTCTTGGGCACCACACTGCTCCCAAAGCGCCCCGTGAAGTGCAGGGCTTCAATGGGCTTCACCTGCACAGAGCTTGCTGTGTGCTCTCTAAAAGGAAAAGGAGATGGGGAGAAAGGTGTGAATGCAGGCAGTGCTCGTTCAAAATAAAGCACTGCCATCCACCTCACCTTTACAGCCTGTTTTTGTAGGGGTGTGAGGAGTTTCCCACGCAGGAGGATGGCTGCTTTCTGCAGCTGCTTCTGGCCTGGAGTTCAGTTTAGTTTAGACAACCTTCCTCCATTTTTATTTCTTTTCCTGCAGCCACAGTTGCTAAAGTGATTGACAGGTTTGAGGATGAGACTGCAGATGACATTTTACCTGTTGGTAATATACGGAAAAAAGCTTCAGCCTCTCTCTTAGAAGCTGATAAAAGGTACAGCGGAAAAGCAACATCTCGCAAAGCCTTGCAGGAAGAGCTCTGGGGAGATGCTCTGTCTGAAGAAGGATCTGGTAAGAAATCTTATTTCTTTACACTTTTAGTTACACTGTTTATAATTTTAGCATGCCAGACTGAATTAGGACCGTCTCAACTGAGGTGAGGAACTTTAAATCCTTGGCAGAGGTTTGTAAAAAGGTACAAATAAGTTGGATGTCTTTTTGGAGTGCCCTCCTGAAATTCAGGCCATTTTGACCATAAGGAAAAGGAGATCCCCAAAAGAGGGCTGCTGCCTCAGGGTGAGAGGGGCTGTGAATATCTCTGAGCCCTGGCTGAATGCTGTGTGGAGGGAAAGAAGTAGTTGCCATTTTAAGGCCCGTAGATCTTGAAGTCTGCAAGTGTATCTTATTTTAAAGATATGTAAAGCAAGTTGTGACCACCTGGTCTGATTACTATGTCACTAATTATTGTCACAGAAGATGAGAGTTGAGATCTTTTCCTGGATATAGTCTCTTTTTTTTTTTTTTTTTCCACTAATTGGTCAAAACAAAAAATGAAACAGTTTGCTGCTCAGATCGGTAGCCATTGTTGATGCGTGCTGCAGAGTGACAGATCTTTTTTCTCTTTGAATTAATAGCTGAAGAAACCTTAGATGAGTGGTATAGTGGCAGTGAAGATTCAGAAGACAATGGCAGCTTGGGCAGTAAAACAGAGGAGCAGGCCAGCAGTGCTGGCAGTGACCAGGAGGATAATATGGAAGATGATGGAGAGAGAGGTTCCTCTGCCAAAGCACCGAAGTTCAGTTTCCAGAATGTCACGGACTTTGAGAAATTTGCAGAGGGGATGGATGACGTTGGGAGCAGTGATGGAGAAGATGAAGATGATGCCAGCATGGAAGAAGGAAGTGATGATGAGAAATACGAGGGGGAAGACCACGACCACATAAAAGGCACCAATGACAACGAGGATGACGGGGGGGTGATGACGTTCTCAAAGGGACAAGCAAGTGATGAGGTGGAAAAAGGAAAAGCGGTGAAGAATCAGCTCGGTTAGTGCATGTTTACTGTGTGTTTTGATGGGATTCACCTTGCTGACACTACAGATGCTGCCCATGCTAGAGGAGACACTGCAGCACGTTAACTTGCTGAGTTGCAGCAGCCCATGTCATTTGCAGATGTTGCACTAAACGTGCTGTGCGTGCTGGTGTCACTATTCCTACAAAATCTGATGTTATGGAGTGTATCTGCTGGCTTAATTGAACCTGCACTAAATATTCTTGTAGTTGGGGTGGGAAGGGGGACTTTACATTGTTAGTTCTGTGCTGTGGTGCTGTGCTGTTTTTCTTCAAATGCTGAAGTTTCTTCCAGTTTATTCAGTCAAATTACCAGCGTCCATTTACAAGTTATTCTTCTAACCAGAGAAGCAAACAGAATTTTTGTGATTAGGATTGTGGTCAGGATCACTGATAGGATGGGGAAGGGGTGCTTTGTGCTTTGTCTTGTGAAATGAAATGAAATAACGTTTTTTTTTCTTTCCCTTTTCTCTTATGAAGCGTTGTGGGATCAGATCTTGGAAGGCAGAATCAAGATGCAGAAGGCACTTGTAATAGCCAACAGGCTTCCTCAGCCAGATACTTTCCCCCTTTTCAGAAAGGAAGGTGGACAGGAATTCGACAGTGCTGTGGAGAGCTGTAAGAATTCTTCAAACTTCTTACTTTGTGTAGAGTCTGCTGTAGCCAATGTGTTTTTACCTGTGTGAGAGAGCATTGATAGGGAAGTGAGGGCTTTGAGTTATGTATGTTTGTAATATTAGCTGTCAGTTTATATTGCCTTAATTGTTAGTGTATGGGAGCTGCTGAGTCACAGCCTGGACCACTGATTGAGCACCTGGAGAAAGGAGCCAGTCAGCCTTGGGAGCACAGGTGGAGGCAATTCATCTGTGCAACCAGGAGGGGTGGAGCCAGGCTCCACTCCTCTTAAATCTCATTTAAGGGCTGACTGCCACTGAGGAAGGATCTGTAGTAAGATCTTTGTGGAATGCTTCTGCAAGCGTAGATCTTCAGAGAGAGGTGAGCACCCTTCTTTTTGAAACAGCTTCTCCTTGCACTGGTCCTGCTGCTGTTCTGATCAGGTGCTGTGCAAGCATGAAGTATTTCTGACCCCGGACCAAGAAAGTGTCTCCCATCAGCCATGTCTGTGTATGTCTAATTGTTCTCTGGCAGCCTGTGTTGTCACTTATGTGATGTTGGTGAGCCTCAGCTTGGGTCCTGCTGCTGCTTCTACTTTTTGTGGGTACTGAAGTTCATTTATCTCTATTGGATGTAAGGAATAACTGGCTTGGTTATCAGTGCTCAGTGAGGAATTGGGGCGCTGCTTTGTCCTGAGACACTGTGTAGATGCTGGGTCTGTGATTGCAGTGATTTGTCCTAACCAGGAGTAATGCAGCACAAAGGAGAGGGTTTGTGCTGTCAAAGCAACAGCAAATACCATTTCAGTTTGGAGTTGCTTCAGATGTTTGGTTTTTAGGATCACTATTAATGATACTGATCTGATGAGACTTGTAGTAGATTCTCCAACATGGCAAATACCTGCATGTTCCAGCTGATAAACACAAAGTATTCAACTTTAGTGCATTGTGGATCTGTTTAATTTGTTAATGCTTCAGTTTGTATGTGCAACACTGATACCAGTGTGTTTGAGAGACTTTGACCTAGGCTGGCACAAGTTATCTTAAAACCACATTAAAAACTTCTGCTGTGAATCCAGCCTGACCCTGGGCCTTGCTCCTGTGCCAGGGTTTGACTATTATCTTACAGCTCACACCTGACCTGAGCATGCAGCTAATCAGCTTATCTGGAGTTATAGCAGGTGGGGCTCTTTGTTTTAAAGTTAACTCAGCTGCTTTAAATGAAGTGATTAAGGAAAAGAAGGTGAGCTCCCAGCAATACTAAGCTGACCTTTCAGTAAAACGCATGTTATTAATGTGTTTAATGAGATGCATTACAAACTGCACTGAGCACCATGTTTCATTACAGGTCTAAAATGCAATATCATTAAAGACCTTTAACAGAAACAATGGTTGACATTTTGATATTTCCCATAAGCAAAATACATCCAGGAACACGTAGTGTAATACCACGCACAGAACAGCAGAGAGGTTAATCTGCCAGTTGTCCAGAACGTTAAAGGAAAATCTGTGTAATAGCTGCACTGTGATCCCCTGCCCATCCTGTTTCCATAATCCAGACAGGAAAGTCGCAGCAGTTTGCTCTGCTGTTCCAGGTGATCTGTATTCAGGTTCCAGGTTGAGTGGGGAGGCAGCAGAACAACCCACCTGGGTGGCGTTAGCAGGGGACGTGCCTGGGCTGATGGGTGGGGAGTAAGGAGCTCAGGAACATTGTGATGCTGCTGTGTTTGTTTGTTGTAGCATTTGCTGGTGTTCTCTAAGGGTCTGAGTTTAAACTTCTTTTTATATTTTTTAAATACAGCCTGTAATTGTACAGTAATGTAGGTTCCAGCAGCTGTTTGTGATGATCTGCACTGTTGTCCAAGCAGGTATTTCTCTGTTCTGCAGAGGTGCTCGTACCAGAAGTTGGGAAGTGCCAAGCATGAAACACGAGGCACAACTTTGTGTGTGCAGGTTTTAGGAGAGTCTAGGGATGCAGTGGGTGACAGTGACCAATTTCTCCCCATCTTGGTGGTGCTGGGCCCTGTGATGGATCTGGGACATTGCAACTCAGCAGGGGCTTTGCCCAGCACGTCTGAGCTGTGGCATGGTTTCTGTTAGGGAGCTCGTGCCTGGGTAACAGCACTGTGAAGCCTTAGTTTCAGTGAGTGAAATTAAGTCAATTAAAAAAAAGAAATACTTATATTGTAATCTATTTAAAGTTTTTCTTGACGGACCTTGATTTAGGAGGGCAGTCTCACTTTTCATCAGTCAGCTTCCAGAAGGAGCTCTGATTGAGAGCTTTGGTGGGTTCCATACAAATAAGCTTCTAGAAATTGGATTTAATAGAAATGAACTTCTAGAAACTCAATTCTACAGAGTGAGGTAGTGGGCTGGGTGTACATCTCTGCACTCCTGTGTTCTCCTCTCAGTTGTTATCAGCTCGTGGGCAGGAGTCCATTTTCCAGACAGGAAAAAGAATGAAAGAATTGGGCACGAGAAGGTTTAAAAATGAATCATTTTATCATGGGTTTAAGGCAAGGCTTTGTGAATGCTGGATGTTGAGCTTGTTCCATTGCACGTAGCATGCTTCAGACTTGGATGGGATTTAAGATAATCATGACATTGACACTGTTTTGGAATGGATGATCCTCTCCTTTCAGGGAAGCCTCAGCAATTCCCTCCAAATCCACAAAATAAATCTGGCATGCTTTCATGATCTCCTCTGAATGAGAGGAAATGATCTGGTGTGTGAAGCTGCCCGAAGTCCTGGCTCTGTGCTGGGAGTGCTGCAAGCTCTAGGCACACAGGTCTCTTACACCTCTTTCAGAGCTTCCCTAGCAAGCTTTTGGTGTTATCCAGAGCCCTTCCCTTGCTTGTGAAGGTTCTGCTCTCTGCCTGTAGGAAGGATGAGTTTGTTGAGGTGGAAAACAGCCCTCCTCTATTTGCCTTGCTGGCGTGTCCCACTCATGACAGCTCTTTGTGCGGCTGGTGGTGGCAGCGAGGCTCCCCAGGGACTGACTGATGGTGTTAAAGAGCAGGCAGCAGTGATGTACGTGCTTTTGCAGTTTTACAGCCAAACCTGAGCAAAAATGGTAAGGTCACACGTGTTTCCCAAATTCTGAGGTTGCATCTTAGGAAAAACTCTGATGTTTAATTTATTATTTTTGTAATCTTTTATGGAAACAAATAAAAAAAAAAGACATACCTTGGACAATCTTGGATTCCTGAGATCTCAGGTTCTGGTGGATGATTTACTGCAAAATTGCTTATAAATTGAAGTAGAAAATGTTTTGCAGACCTGGCAGCTTTCAGGCTTCACACCCATTTGTCACCCAGCATTTCCCTTTGTGTATAGAACAAGAATTAATTAGGCTGCGCTGCAGGAAAAGTTTATGGCCATAATTTATATAGGATGAATTCCTGTTTAAAGAGACAGCATTGCTTTGTTTGCGCCGTGTTACTTTTTCTTTTTTCCTAATCTTTAATTATATCCCAGATTATTTTTTTTCCAGTCCTCCTTTTTACCTGCACATGGCAGCTGTGCCCGTGCAGCTCGTGTTTCTTCCTGCTTTGCATCCATGGAGAGAGTCGGGGAGCTCTCTTAATACCAAAACCACGGCGGCTGCGCTCTGGAGGCAGTGCAAATTGTGAATGCACTGCACACGTGAGCTCCCACAGCTCGTGTTTGTGAGGTGCTGCTGCCCAGGGCAGTCTGTTTCTCCAAGATACGTTTGTATTCTCTCACACCGTATCTCCTAGTCTGGTCCAGGGCTTGAGATGTTGCCTCCATTTGGGGTCTTGCACGTTCAATTAATGTTTTTCATAATCAATGCAAGTCAGAATTTGCAATCTGCTCCTGATTTGCACATTAAAGAGACCCATTAATTAAAAATTCCAATCCCTGGCATGTTCCCGCAGGATCCTTGCATTATTTACATAGAAAAAGAGTGCAAGGTGCAAGTTTCTGTGCTGTGTCTCTGCGCAGATTGCATGCTTGCCATTCATGTTTCTGTGTATGCTTTCAGGCAGGAGGAAGGTTGGAAGTAGATGTTGTGAAAATGGCACAAAAATTACCTCAAGGGCAGGAAGGAGTCGGGGCAGAGGTGGAAGCCGCGCTGGTGAAGCCGTATATCCAGTGTCAGGAATTAAACAGTGCCAAGGTTTGGATCTCATTCAGTAACAAAAAGCCACAGCTAGCTCTGGGGAGGGGGGCAAGCAGAGCTGTAGACAAGATCTCTTGCTCTCAGCAAAGGCCAGGAGCTGGGGTTGCTCTGTTGTTGTAACTCCTTTCTCTTTACAATCCTGGTTAAAAATACCTGGGGATGTGACAGTGATGCTTTGTGATTCACTAACAATAACGGGGGTAATGCGTTATCTTCAATTTTTAGTTGGAGAGAAAGCTAAGTAAGAACGTACAGAAACTCATGTAGGTCTCTTGCATGGGTCTCATGTGGCAAGATGCTGATGCACACTGGAAGACTTAAAGGCGATCAGTATTTTGTCATACCCATGTCCTTTCACTTGCCTACAGTTAGGCAGCTCCATGAAATAGAAACTCCCAGCTAAATGGTGTTTTTTTGTTTTTAACTTTGGCTCTGTCAGTGGGCTGAGAGGAAATACCAGACTGTGGGTTTCCTCAGTGTGAGTCCTGGAGAAATGGCAGAACACAGCTGTGACGGGAAGCAGGCAGGGTCTGTGAGAGTGGGTTGGCTCATGAGAGGAGCAGAAGTGGTGACAGTGCACCTTAACTGTTGTTCACACTTCGAGTAACTTCTGCACAGCCCCGCGAAGATTGGTGGTCAATAAGAAAATCTGAATGAAGTGAATCAGATTAAAATGTGTGTATTTTAAAAAAAAAAAAAAAAAAAAAAAAAGCAACCCACAGCATAACTCCCCTGTGCTCGCAAGGCTGTTATCACCAAAGCTGCCTGGGTTATTAATGTGTTAGTGGAGCAGCAGCTCCTCCTGGCAGCAGCCTGAGTTGCTCAGCACAGTGCCTGAGTGGCTCCTAATGGTTACAGC